CCTCCTGTTAAAGTATCATGGGATTGATGCAGCACAACTACCTGTAACTTTCTCGGTATAACCGTTTGCCAAGTCGTCACTTTCCCATCTGCAGTTTCCCATCTCTGGAGAAGAATACCATCTTCAAGCTTCAACTGATCCCATTGTGCCCTATAGTTCTTTGTCACAGGGCTTAAGCAAGACACCTTCTCCCAAGCAGGGTGCAAAACACTTGCTTTTAGAAAATCAATTATTCGCTTCAAATCTTGGTCTTTCTCCTGCTCTGATTTAATATCTATACCTGGTTCCATTTCACCATTATCAACTCTTTCATTCACTTTGACTTCAAACATGGTCCAACCACAACTAAAACCTTTCCTTAAACAAATTAGTTCACGAGATATAGTTAGAGCGATTTATTGCTGATTATCGCTCGATATTGTTATTGATCTTGAGAGGTGGTTTAATTTTGGAATGTTCTGCTTTTTCTTCTTCTGGACCACCCAGTGGCACAGAGGTATGACTGCAAAGTTGCAATGCTAAAAACCGGGTTTCGATACCTATAAAGCCCAGTTAACCCATAGTGTAGCTTTCTTTTTCTAAGTGCTTTATTTATTGAAATTAATAACATTGATATTTATGCTGTAATGTTTAATAACGTTTGTATCAAATCCTGGACAAGCACAGATTTACTAACTTTTTTCTTTGGATTTGATAAAACTTGTATTACAGTTGTTGGAAAGTTTTGGATTTCTATCGTTGTTACAATTTAATAATTTGTTTTTGTTTGAGATATTTTTTTAAATATTCAAGATAAACACAAAGCAATATTCCTCATCTTGAACAGTTGTTAGATGGAAACAAGATCGAACAAGATGATCATATTAATTCTGAGCTCCTTAAGAAAAAATGGGAAATTTAAAGAATGATAAGGCTCCTGGGCCAGATAATATATCCCCAAGTGTTTTGAAGGAGGTTAAGGATTGAATATTTGATCCACTTGCTGCTATTTTTTGTAAGCCCTTGAATAGCGGGCAGGTGGAAGTTGAATAATGTTACTCTTCTCTTCAAAGGAGGTGATCAAAATTGTCCTGGTAATTATATTACATCAGTTGTAAGAAAAGTTTTGGAAAGTGTGGTAAAATATGCTTTGCAATATCATTTAACAAGTTTGAGAATTTTATTGGATAGTCAACATGGTTTCACTAAAAGAAAATCTTGCCTTACAATTCTCTTGACATTCTTTGAAAAGGTTTCTGTTTATGTAAATGATGGTAAGGGTGTATATTTGGTGTATCTGGATTTTCAGAAAGCATTTGAAAAGGTGCCACATAAAAGGCTTTGTAAAAAAAAGATTATCGCTGTAGGTGCGGGGGATAAGTTAGTTGATTGGATAGAAGAGAGGCTGGATGGAAGAAAACAGAAGGTTGTTATAAATGGAGTTCAGTCAAACTGGATTAATGTCACAAGTGGGTTACTTCAGGGTTCAGTCTTAGGACATTTGCTATTGTTGATTTACGTCAATGACATAGATGAGGGAATGATAAATAAGTTACTTAAATTTGCTGATGACATGAAGGTCTTGTGTGTTGCTGACTGTGAGGAGGATACTGCTGCTTTACAAAAAGGTTCAGATCATTTATTAAGTTGGGCAAGTAAGTGGCAGATGGGTTTTAATTATAATAAATGCAAAATGATGCATGTGGGTTATCATAATTTGAGCTACAAGTATAATTTGGGTGAGAACTGTTATGAAAGAAAGGGATCTTGATGTAGTGGTTCATCAGTCTCTTAAGCCATCCAAGCAATGTGCTGTTGCTAGTGGTATGGTAAATAGGATTTTAGGTTGTATCTACAGAAATATTGAATACAAGTCTAAAGAGATTATAATTCTATTTCATAGGTCACTGGTTAGGCCACATTTGGCATATATTATATTTAGTCTTGGGCTCTATACCTTAGGAAGGATATTGAATTGTTGGAAAGAGTTCATAGGAGGGCTACTAGAATGGTGCCTGGGATGGAGTGGTTGTCATACGAAGAGAGGTTAATATCTTTGAAATTTTTCTTGAATAAAGAAGAATAAAAGGGGCTCTGATTGAGGTGTTTAAGACCGTTAAGGGAATGGATAGTGTTAATGCATCATCTTTTTTCATACTTATTTGTGAGAATGGTAGGACTAAGGGACATAAGTATATACTTAGACAGGGTAGGAGTCTTCTTCAGCTTAGACAGTTTTATTTTTCTAACAGGGTTGTTGGCCTTTGGAATGGGTTGCCTTTGGATGCTGTGGAAGCAATAAATTTAAGTGAGTTTAAGAGAAAGGTTGAATTATATGAATGATAAGGGATGGCTTTGAGGCTTTTTTATTAAATAGTTTTAGTATAGTTTAGAAGATGGGACAGACAAGATGGACCAATAGCTCCCTCGTTTTTCCTAAATATTATGTTATGTTAACATAAACTGAAAAATAATAACTGTTATCTACTTAAAGTAAAAATAAAAACGTTATTGTCATATCTTCTACAGAGGCACAAATGTTTAGAAGTTAGAATATGAAGTTTAAATTTAGTATATACATAATTTACAGTTTACCCAGAGTTTTTCGGGCTTCACTTCCCACCAGTTTAACGCAATCAATATATTCATTGTCCAAGCTAAATATGCTCTAACGTGAGCAGGTCCATTACTGTCATAAGTGGATTGGTCAAAGCTTGTCCCTCGTCATCT